ATGACATTTTAGAACCAATGTTAAGAAAAAAACACGGAAATAAAACCAAAGGTTGGGGGAAAAGTAAACATTTAATTTCCCAGCCGTACAAAAGTATTGAAACTTTGGCATATCAGGGACAGATGGCTGCCCGTATGGGTATTATTTCATTAAGCTACATGCAGCAAGCTTTAGGAATGTTGTTAGATTCTATAACTTGTCAAGATGCGGACACAGTTCAAGCAATTAAAGACATTTTCTCCATGTCTACCAAGGCACTAGATCAAATGGGGAGAGCAGGGGCTTTTCACCATCTTATAAGAAGGAAAACTGCAGCACAAGACTCTGGATTATATACCTTGAAGGATATTCATAGCAAAATTATTTGCCTCCCTCTTTCAGAAGATGGCGTCTTTGGCAAGAAATTAGAAGAGAAACTAAAAGAAAGGAAAGAGCAGAAAGATTCTCTTAAGGATTTAATTCCAGAATGGAATGAAAAAAATCAGAAACGCAAATTTTCAGAAAATTCTGCTGAAAACTCTGGAAATTTTAAAAAACCCAGAACTACTACTGTTTTGAATAACAGTTACAGAACAGCTACTCAGAGACCCAATTACTCAAGACGGTCTTATGACTACAAACCAAGAGAGGACAATTCGAGAAATACGTCTACATCTGCTACAGTAGACAGAATTGGCTCCTTTCGGATCCCAAAGAAATCTAATAAATGACTGGAGATTAGAACAGGTAACCAAAATTGCAATGCTTCCCGAGATACCAGTTGGGGGTCGTCTCAAACATTTTGTAGAAAACTGGAATCTTGTAACTCAAGACAGTTGGGTATTATCAATAATCAACGAGGGTTACAAACTAGAATTTCTTCAAAAACCCCAGTTTTTAGGGGTAAAGAAAACAACAATCCCTCAAATACAAAAACTTTGTTTGTTAAAAGAGGTAGAAGATTTATTAGAAAAAAATGCAATAGAACCTGTCTCAAATCAGGAGAGTCAAACAGGTTTTTACAGTACATTTTTCCTTGTCCCCAAAAAGGGTGGCAAAATGAGACCCATCATAAATTTGAGACCCCTCAACCAGTATCTCAAGAAGCAACATTTCAAAATGGACACTTTAAACAAAGTGTTGAATCTAGTGAAACCAAACGATTGGGCAATTTCAATCGATTTAACAGATGCATATCTACACATTCCAATATTTTCAAAACATCGGAAATTTCTAAGATTTTGTGTAGAAAACCAGTGTTATCAATGGAAAACAATGTGTTTCGGCCCAACATCAGCACCGAGAGTTTTCACCAAAATGGTGTCTGTAGTAGCAGCATATTTGAGAACACACAATATTCGTCTAGTAGTTTACCTAGACGATTGGTTAATAGTAAACCAATCAAGAGAAATGTTATATCAAGATCGACAGAAGTGCCTAAATCTATTGGTTTCACTAGGTTTCATAATCAACAAAGAGAAGTCTTGTCTAGAACCCACTCAGGAAATTGTATACCTGGGAGCTTTGTTTTTATTCAGACAAAAAATAGTACTTCCATCTCAAGACAGATTGATAAAATTGGTACAATCAACCAAAATGTTAATGCAGGGTCAGAAAACAGCCAAAGATTTTCTACAATGGTTGGGAATAGTAGCCTCATGCATAGATCTTATTCCAAATGCTCGTCTTTACATGAGACCTGCTCAGTTACATCTACTAAGTTTTTGGAAACCAAGCTCTCTAGATTTGGAGAAAATAGTCCCTATTACACCACATCTAATACAACACCTACAATGGTGGTTATATTCAGTGAACATTTCCAGGGGCAGATCTTTGCAACTGGAAGAAATTGGGGTGACCATAACCACAGATGCATCCTTGACAGGGTGGGGGGGTCACCTAAACAATCAAATAGTTCAAGGACATTGGGACAGTTGTCACAAAGGTCTT